TTTTTTTCTGAGGATAAAAATTGACAAAAGTCCAACATAATCGTTTTATAGGTACCTGGATCAAATTGCAATGGCGGCTAAGTTTCAAACCAAAGTGTATTGCAGGCAGACTTTGATCGGCGGGTATTACGGGCTCCTAGACAAAACTACATTTGTTCCCAACCCTGATTATTACAGGTAGGGTAGGATAAGCTTATCAGACATTATAATTTTTTCCGATTTTTCGAGTTTTGCAGCTTATTATTAACATATCGTGCTTGTGAGGCAAATATCAGCGCACTTTTGTGGCACCGGCTAATGGGAAAAGCAGTGCTTTCTGTTAACAGCAACTCGTCAAGATATTTGCGGGTTTACGCACATTGTGCTAAAAAAAGAGTAAGTGGGCCCCACCAATTATATTATTTTTCAGTTAGTTAGTTTCGGTTGATCGGAGTGCGATAAATCATTCGAATCAACTTCATTTTTTCAACAACAATTCTTGTTTTTTTCCAGCCTGGCATAGCCGTACTTCTGATCAACCTAAGCAACCAGACAACATACAATGTCGATGTCCAATCTGACGAGACCAAAAAACGAACTCGAGCCAAAAAAAACAACTCTATCACGGGCAGGTTTAAACAATCGGTCTCGTGGGTTGGAAATAAGGCTTCAGACGAGCTGTACCGAGCGGAGTACCAGTTGACTCCCGAAAATGGCAACCTTACGAGCCAAGTCATGTTGCTGAACGGACAACCTCTGAAGCTAACGAAAAACGGAGACATCCCGAGTTTGGTTCCGAGCCTCGTGAAAATGGGTTCGAATTTGACGATTTCGCCTTTATCGATAAAATTCGTAGTTTACCAAAACTTCTGGTCCATTGGGTGTGAATAATGTCTTATCTGCTGCTTCATGGTCCTGGGTTTTTGCTTTGCTTTCTTCTGTATTGTTGTGCTTAGAGGCTGATTAGCCACCAATAAGTGTGTTGTGTTTATATTATAGTCTTTTTGTTTCCTTTTGTGTGTGTAAAATGTTTTGAGTTAAAAACATAGGATTCAGACAAACTGAATCAGAATAAGCAGCAATCAGATAAGGCCTCATTTGTTAGGGTAGATGAGATTAGTGGCCAAGATTAAATTGTATTGTTGTGATTAAATGGTATTTATGTTTGTTATTAAGGACTGGTCCAAGATAAGATTTTGTTAACTTTTTGTGTTACACTTTCGTTTTTTTTCTAGATAAGATATAAGATAAAATATATGAATTACCAATATGCCCCTAATTTAAAATGATTAATATAATAGAGCTTTTGACTAGGGCTGCAAATGAGTCGAGCCGAGTCAAGCATTGACCTTATCGAGCAGGATTGAGTTTTTTTTTAGCTGCTCGAGCTCGAGCTCGACTCGAAAATCAAAAGGCTCGAGCTCTACTCAAAAATTTTTATGTGGAAAGTAAAATTATCATTAAGCACCTATACTAATATATATAATAAGGGGTATTTTAGTAATTTAACGTGTATCTCGAGCAACTTAACGAGCCGCTCGACAAGGCAAAATATGGAATCGAGCTCAACTCGAGTTTGGTCAAACTCGAGCTCGAGTCGAGCTTTGACGAGTGCTCGCGAACGCTCAATTCGTTTGCGGCCCTACTCTTGACTATTAATTTAAATTTATTAAAAGACAGTTTCAACTACAGTTTATGCTTCACATCAAATGCAATATAGTCTCATTTTGATTGTTAGGTTTATAGTTTACTTTTTTTTTCAGTTATTTATTTTCGTGATGAACATTTGTTAGAATATCACTTGTGAGTTGTCCCACATCGTTCATATATGGAAAATAGACCCACCTTATAAGTCTAATGGGCTACTCCTCCTTTCACCAATTGGTTTTGGGATGGAACCCTATTCGGCTTCATTTGGGTTTTCCACACTTTGGTGCGCTTCATGTTAGTGGGCCCGCACCGTTTTTCCCCCAGTTTCTTTCATGGTATCAGAGTTCGGTTCTATTGGGACCGTGTGATGACGTACCCGTTTATGGGAGTCTGCTTCCCCACGTACCCGTTTATGGGAGTCTACTAGAAAGTCTGCTTCTAGTAGGCTTGGGGCGCCCAGTTGGGCTTGGCTTCCGAAGGACTCACAAGTGAGGGGGCGTGTTAGAATATCACTTGTGAGTTGTCCCACATTGTTCATATGTGGAAAATAGACCCACCTTATAAGTCTAATGGGCTACTCCTCCTTTCACCAATTGGTTTTGGGATGGAACCCCATTGAGCTTCATTTGGGTTTTCCCCACTTTGGTGCCCTTCATGTTAGTGGGCCCGCACCGTTTTTCCCCAGTTTCTTTCAGTCCCATATGTATACCATAAATTAGGACTCATATTTTCTAATCATAATTTTTAATCAGATTTTCTTTATGTTATTTGATTCACCAAATCTTGACATATGCGTGTGACACATTTATATCTTGTTCAACATTTTCATTATCAATATTCTTTATTTGTTGAATTTTTGTGTATTTTATTTTAATTTTTTTTTCATCATCAACATTTTCATAATGTCATTCTTAGACCGTCAAATATTTATGAATTAATAACTTGTATAGTTGACATTGAATTTTTATGCAAAATATCTAAGTCAATCTATCGAACAATCATGAACAAACATGAGAAACTGCATTTATGTAAAAATATCATATATGACTAACTTTCATGTCGCTGAAGTGAAAACTTTTCATATCTGAAAAGTTGTCGGTATCCTCCACACTCTAAAACCCGAGCCATCTTGTGATGACTTCGACTCCAACAAGATAAAATGCACTAAATAAAGTCAGTTATTTAGTATTTGTGTTGATCACTTTTTTTTATTGTGTATTGCTTTGTTCTTGCCCCCTATTTTAAGATACACAAAACACCTATTTATATAGTTGTCTTCTGAAAGAGACATACTCAATAGAGTTTTAGGGAAATGCTACGGTCCATTTGGAAACTATTCTGTTGGGATTTGTAACCGTTAGATCATCATGTAATCATCAGGAATAGTTGATCTAACGATTACAAACCCCGACGAAATGGTTCCATAATGGAACTGCAACATCTCCAAATTCCTTGACGTAATTACTTAATTGGGACTTTTTTTTTTTTGGTACAAAGAAGAGGCTAAACGCCTAGTGAATAATGGAACGCACGGTCCGCTGATAGGCTACTCTCACAAGATCATGTTGTAGCCATTGACGAACCCCATCGGGCGGAGCACCAAAGGACTGATACCCCAACGAACCCTCCGCTGCAGAAGGAAGCCAAAAAATCAGCTGCAAAACTCGCCTCACGGAATACATGTTGCACTCGGACCTCCCACGATCTACCCAATAACTCTTTGATACCCGACACCAAGCCTAAATGAACCCCCGGTGCGTCTTCCAGCGATGTGGCGAATCTTACCGCACTTTCATTGTCAACTTCCGCTATAACTCGCCTGCACCCAACTCCCAAGCTAAAGATAATCGCCGAAACAATCCCCATAATTCGGCCGCCATAATCGAGCACACGCCAATTTTCTAAGTGCACTGTGGAGGTCTTAATTGGGACTTTTTAACAATGCCTGGGTGATTAATTAATGCGAATTAATTGCAAACAACAATAACAAAATTCGTATATTCATCCACCATAACAGACACTATTGATCATTATGATTATTTTACTAATATTACTTTGTATTGAAAATATTATCTTACTAGTATTCGACCCTGTGCATTTGCACAGATGTAAATAAAGTATTGTGAGTTATTTTATGCATATAATGATTAATTATTTTTCTTTCACTTTTTTGCATGCCAAATTTAC